AAATTATAGAGTACAGGGCTGGGAAGGTGGCTCAGTGGTAGAGCGCTTGCCTTGCATGCATGAGTCCCTGGGTTTGATTCCTCAGCACCACATAAGCAGACAAAAAAAAATTGTAGAGTACTTGTTTAACAAGTTCAAGGGCTGGGAAGGTGGCTCGTGGTAGAGTGCTTGCTTTGCATGCCTGAGGCCCTGGGTTCGATTCCTCAGCAACACATAAGCAAAAAGAAAAAAGTCGGAAGTGGCGCTGTGGCTCAAGTGGGAGAGTGCTAGCCTTGAGCTGAAGAGCTGAGGGACAGCGCCCAAGCCCAGAGTTCAGGCCCCACAACCAGACCCCCCCTCAAAAAAGTTCAAGGACCTGAGTTCAAACCCCAGTACTGCCCCCCTTTGCTTCTTTAAAAAAAATAAAAAGCCTTGCTTTGAGTTTTATTCCAGAAAGGCAATGCCTATGTGCCTCTGATCATATAAGATAATATTTATAGGTGGGCACTGGTAGCTCACGCTTGTAATCCTAACTACTCAGGAGCCTGAGATCTAAGGATCACTGTTCAAAGCCAGCCCAGGCAGGAAAGTCTAAGAAACTCTTTTTTTCCTTTCTTTTTGGTCAGTCATGGGGTTTGAACTCTAGGCCGTGGGCACTGTCCCTAAGCACTTCAGCTCAAGGCCACCACTTGAGCCACAGCGCCACTTCCAGCCATTTCTGTTTATGTGGTGCTGAGGAATCGATCATGCATGTGAGGCAAGCACTCTACCACTGAGCCACCTTCCCAGCCCCTCTAAGAGATTTTTTATCTCCAAGTATCACCAGAAAACTGGAAGTAGATCTGAGGCTCAAAGTGGTAGAATGCTAGACTTGAGCAGCACCCAGGCCCTGAGTTCAAACCAGTGAGAAACAACAACAAAAAAGAAGATAATATTTATCTAAATGAACTCCAGGAAATGGAAACAGGAAGTTTTTTTGTGTTGTTGTTTTTTTGTATTGTTTTGTTTATCTGTCTTTGGGAGGTTAAAGGAGAGACATAAAAAACGGAGGGGAAAAAAGACTTGTTCTACTGTTGTGTGCAAGTGGCGGGGGCAGGCGTACTCTTTCTGGTTAGGTTAAGTCGGTGTCTTCGTTGTTTGAAGGACATCGGCCGTCGAATTTGTGACTTTGACAAAGATTGACATCATGGCAGACGCAGAAAATGAAGGCCAATTCCAGTTCACTGGTATTAAGAAGTATTTCAACTCATATTCTCTCACGGGTAGAATGAATTGTGTGCTGGCCACATATATAGGCATTGCTTTGCTGGTCTTATGCTTTAAGTTAAGGTCTAAAAAGACTCCAACTGTGAAAGCAACATAAATGGATTCTAAATTCTCTGAGCTCATCTGTTAAATTCCCAAGCCTGGAGAAGCTAATGTCAACTCATCATGTAATACTCAATTTGTACAATAAATTATGAACCTGGAAAAAAAAAAAGACTTGTTCTAGATAGGTACTGGTGGCATGCCTGTAATCCTAGCTACCTTGAGGCTGAGAGATCTGAAGATCATATTTCAAAGCCAGCCCAGGCAAGAAAGTACATGAGACTTTTATGGAGTAGAGGCATGGCTCAATTAGCAGAGCACCAGCCTTCAGAAAAAGCTAATGAACAGTGCCCGGGCCCTGAGTTCAAGCCCCAGTAGCTACACACACACACACACACACACACACACACACACACACACACACACACACACACACACACACACACACACACACACACACGTTTTGTTCCAGAGTTTAGCTGACCAAGAAACAGACAGTGATTTTGTAGTACTTTCAAAGCTTAAGAAAACCAGGTCTGAGGTATTCACCTGTAATCCTAGCACTGAATGATCACAAGTTCACAGTCTAGAATATATTAAAAACTGCCCAAATTTCTGTGCTCTAGCTAGGATTATAAGGTATATACTACTACACTTGGCTAATGCCTTTTTTTTTTGCTGGTCATGGGGCCTGAACTCCAGGCCTGGGCGCAGAGTTCAGCTAATGCCTTCTTTTAATGTCACAGAAATGCAGATTCATAGAACATTAGAAACACAAAGAACTTTTTCATTGAAAGTTCTTATTGTATTCATCTCTTTTCTGTTCCAAAATATTATAAGATGATAAAGGATTTATGGGGGTGGGAATACTGAGTGTTGAACTCAGGGCCTTGTGCTTGCCAGTCAAGCATTCTAATGGCCTAGCCGTGCTGTCTCAAATGTATGCCCAGGTTCTCTTGGACCAAAATCTGCCTATTCATGCTTCCTACAGAGCTAGAATAACAGGTCCAAACCACTGTACCTTGCTACTGATTGTGACGGGGACTCATTCTTATCCCTGGGTTGACCTGGAACCTCAGTCCTCCTGATCTCAGCCTACCATGTAGCTTGCCATGACAAAAGAAGGGAAATTTTTTAAAATGAAGTCAACCAAAGGGATGCTGTCTACGCATGAGGGATTTCAAAAGATCACTAGAGAAAGGAAGTAGAGCCCAGTGCTGGTGGCTCATGCCTGTAATCCTAGCTACTCAGGAGGCTGAGATCTGACGATTGTGGTTCAAAGCCAGCCTAGGCAGGAAAGCCTATGAGACTCTTATCTCCAATTAACCACCAGAAATCCGAAGTGGTGTTGTGGCTTAAGTGGTAGAGCACTCACCTTGAGCTGAAGAGCTCAGAAACAGCATTGCTAGGTTGGAGCCTAGAGCTGGGTACCAGTAGCCCACAGTTGTAATCCTAACTACTCAGGAGGCTGAGATCTGAAGATTGTGGTTTGAAGCCAGCCCAGATAGCAAAGTCCATGAGACTCTCATCTCTAATTAGCCCCCAAAAGGCTGGAAGTAGAAGAGTAGCTCAAGGGTTAGATTTCTAGCCATGAGGGAAAAAGCCAAGGGAGAGTACAAAGCCAAGAGTTCAAACCCTACCACTGGCACAAAAAGAAATAAAGAAGTGAGACCTAATAGAAGGTCCTTAGATCAATTAAGATATTTTTCTTAGAACTTTGGTAGTTTGTTTTCCCAAGGTAGTTATTATGAAAATGTGAGCCTGGCCCCACTAGGCCTCTGTGGCTTCCTGTTGTGAAGTAAGATCTCTTCCTTCTGCATGTGTTCCCACTATCCATCACAAGATTCTCCCCAAAGTTTATTCTGCTACTCTGCCCTTGCTGCAGTGATCTGTAAGCCAAGCAAACATCTTTTCTTTATAAAGCTAGCCTGCCTTAGGTATTTTGTTACAGTCAGGGCAATGCAGGCACATGACAGAGTAAATACAGGGTATAACATAATTGAGCTGGAAATGAGACAGTTAATTAACCCCAATGTATTTCTCATCGAGTCTTTTATTCCTCTGTCCCTCAGATAGTTCATCAGGGAGGGATTATTTCCACTAGTCAAAAAAAGAGAATTTTTTTCCTTTAATTGTGTGTGGGGGAGGGAGGCGGGGCAGGGGCAGTTACTGGGGTTCGGACTCAGGGACTGGATCTGTCCTTAAGATCTTTTGCTCAAGGCAAGCACTCTACCACTTGAGCCACAGCACCACTTCTGGTTTTCTGGTGGTTAATTGGAGATAAAAGTCTCACGGACTTTTCTGCCCCAGCTGGCTTTGAGCCATGATCCTCGTTCTCAGTCTCTTGAGTAGCTAGGATTACAGGCGTGAGCCATTGGCACCCGGCCTACAAATCTTTTTCTTTAAAAATAGTTTTAAAAGCAAACAACCCAAGGGCAAAGACCTTCCACCTGATATGACTCTATTAAATCACCCTAAAACAGAGTTTCCAGGTGAGCAAGACTTGCTCTGTTACAGAACAGGACTGCTAGATAGGATGGTTCTGGAAAAGTTGATACATCTCTTGGCATTGCCATTACATGTGAACAACCATAAATACTGCAATAGGAAATAGACCAAGATGAAATAAACAGAAAAATAATTTTAGAGGCAACAAAGAACTTAAGAATTAGGAAAGGCCTTAAGTGAAACTGCTCAAATTTTGTGAGCGTATTGGATATAATGCATACTTAATAACATTTTTTCAGCTTTTTACTTAAGATAGTTCCAAAGTTAAAAGTTATATTCCCTACTCAAGTTTACCCATATCAGTATTTCATTCTGTTCCATTATTGTGCTTATTTTCTCCCTTGTATGTATGTATGTGGGTAAGCCATTGGAAAATTGAATACAACACAGTCCTTTACTCTTAAATACTTCAGGTGTGTGTGTGTGTGTGTGTGTGTGTGTGTGTGTGTGTGTGTGTGTGTGTGTGTGTGTGTGTGTGTGTGTGTGTGTGTGTGTGTCCTGGAGCAAGTCCTGGAGCTTGAACTCAGGGCCTATGCACTGTCCCTGAGCTTTTGTGCTCAAGACTAACACACTACCACTTAGGCCACAGCTCCACTTCTAGCTTTGTTGTATAATTGGCGGTAAGAGTCTCATGGACTTTCCTACCATGTTTGCTTCAAACTGCAATCCTTAAATCTCAGCCTCCTGAGTAACTAGGATTATACTGCCAGGCTTTTATACATTTTATAAGAATTTGAAAATATTCTCCCAAGTCATCACTCAGGGCCTGGATGCTGCCTTTGAGCTTTTTGCTTAAAGCTAGCACTCTACCACTTGAGCCACAGCTCCACTTGAGGGGGTTTTTTTTGGTGCTTAATTGGAGGTAAAAGTCTGGTGGACTTTCCTGCCTGGGCTGGCTTTGAACTGTGATCCTAAGACCTCAGCCTCCTGAGTAGCTAGGATTGCAGGCTTGAACTCCGAGCATCTAGCCTCATGCTCATCTTTGCCATTTGTTTCAAGCCTTTGGTTCTAGAATTGTCTGTATGATTCCCAGAATAAGTCCTTTCTTCCTTTGCCTTCCAGGAATCACCAGCCCTGAGCTTTGAATTTTTGGCCTCCCTTTTGGAAAAACAAATTTTAAGGATCAGTTTTTGATGGATTAACCGTTTTTTTTTCTTTTCTCGCTCTCTTTTTTTTTTGTTTTGTTTTTTTTATCTTGTTTATAGTTTGAAGGAATTCCAGAAGGACCTATTCCTCCATCTACACCCAAATATGCATATGGAAAAGTTGTTCTGGAAAAGGTAAGTAATACATAAATAAAGTACATAAATAACAGCAGTGCTGGGGGGAAGCCAGGAGCAAGGAAGTAGAGCTCAGCTGCAGTGGGTCGAGGTGCTGGCCAGGGAAAGGCTTGTGAGCTTTCTGTGAATTGGGTTTCAGCGAGCCTGGGAGTGGGTGCTGTTTCTGGGGAAATGGAGAGGAGAAGATGAGAAGATAATGCGTGCATGTTCACAGGAAGCACACGTTTGCACAAAATGGAGTAATGGGCATTCGCAGATAATTCTGTTCACTTTTCAGCTTTCCTGGGCAGGGCTAGGACTCTGTGGATATGACAGGCCATCTCATTATTCTGGCCTGAGAAGCTCTTCTCCATAATTTTCCCTATCCACTTGTTTTGGGGACAGTTCTGGGTTTAAACTCAGGCTGGTGCTCCACCACTTGAGCTATGCCTCCAGCCCAGTTTTATTGTGGTTGTTTTCAAGATAAGGTCTTATGAACTTTTCTGCCAGGCTGGCCAAAAGCCATGATCCTTCCACTTTCAGCCTCTCAATGAGCCACCATTGCCAGATTATAATTTTCCTTTTGTGTGTGTATGTGTACGTGTACGTTTGTGCACATATGCCAGTACTGAAAATTGAACTCAGGGACTAGCACTGTCCTCAAGTTTAAAAAGCCCTTACCACAGCTCCACTTCCTGCTCTTTTGGTGGGCAGTTAGAGCTGAATCTCATGGACTATCCTGCCCCATCTGGCTTCAAACCATGATCCTCAGATCTCAGCCTCCTTAGTAGCTAAGGTTACAGCTATGAGTCACCGGTACCTGGCATTTTGCTCCTTTTTAAGGAATTTCTCCAAGTTGTGGAATTTTGATATCTCTTGTCATATTATACTTAGCTTCAATCAAAATCATGTCCTAACTTTTATGGCCTATGACTTAATTAGAAAGTGAGATAACAGGGGGAAAGGCTAGAAACCAACCATAAATTAGAATTACAATAATCTTTTTTTATTATTTTATTTTATTTTTTTTTTGATTTTCTGTACAGAGGGGTTACAATTACATGGGCAGGATAATGCATACATTTCTTTTTGTTTTTTTTTTTTTTTTTGGGTCCGGTTGTGGGACCTGAACTCTGGGCCTGGGCACTGTCCCTCAGCTCTTCAGCTCAAGGCTAGAGCTCTACCACTTGAGCCACAGTGCCACTTCCAGCTTTTTTCTTATGTGGTGCTGAGGAATCGAACCCAGGGCCTCAGGCATGCAAGGCAAGCGCTCTACCACTGAGCCACCTTCCCAGCCCAATGCATACATTTCTTACCAAGCATTGCAGCCTCCTCCTTTGTTTACCCTTCACATCCCTTCCCAGCCTCCCCCTCCCCCCCCAACAATAATCTTTTTCTACATCCCACCTTCTTAAGTAATATAAGCCAATTTTTTTTTTAAGAGGAGGATGCTGGGCGCTGGTAACTCATGCCTGTAATCCTAGCTATTCAGGAGGCTGAAATCTGTCTAAGGATTGTACTTCAATACCTGCTCAGGCAAGAAAGTCCATGAGACTGTTATCTCCTCATTAATAACACAAAAAGTAGAGCTATGGCTCAAACGCTAGAGCACTAGCTTTGAGCACTCGAGCCCAGAGTTCAAGCTCTGGTACTGGCAAAAAAAATAAATAAGAAGGGAGGGATGATCATCTTAATTCTAGAAAAGACTGAAAGATCTTAATAGAAATGACTTTATCCAAATTCAATTTGTTTTGGCACTCTGTGTCCTCAGGTTTTCCCCTTATAATCCCTAACTCCTACATATATTTACAAGAAGAGAAACCATGAACAGTTACTTATTTCTTAAAAAATCTTGAGATTCTAAAATAGCATTGTAAGTTTTTATCTTGAAGCAAAATGCCAAACCTGATTGTATGATTTTTCCATTCAGGAAGCCTTCTGATCTGCTTGCTTGAGCTGTCGTAATAGTTTCCACCTGGCCTTAGGTCTGTGTGCTACATTCTTCAAAGACTGTGATCTGATAGGCATCTCCCTTTAGATCAATCAGACATTAATCACACTTACAAAGGGAGAATTTTCTAGTTGTTCACTGCCACAGCTACTAAAGGAAAAGCTTTTTGGCTTTAGAGCTATGAAAATTTACTTTGATGCAACAGAAAATAACTCCCATTGTTTAAACTAACATGATAAAATTAACAACAAAAAGGTAGCTTATGCTGAGTGCTGATGGCTCACACGTGTAATCCTAGCTACTCAGGAGGCTGAGATCTGAGAATCATGGTTCAAAACCACTCCAGGCAGAAAAGTCTATGAGACTCTGACTTTCAATTAACCTCCAAAAAGCCAGAAGTGGGGCTGTGGCTCAAGTGATAGAGTTGTTAATTAGCTTTGGACAAAAAAAGCTTAGGGACAGTGCCCAGGACCTAAGTTCAAGCCTCAGGACTTGCACTTGCATGCACACGCACACAAACACACACACACACATGCATGCACACACACACATGCATGCACGCACACAGAGTAGCTTAATACCAGAATTATGTTTACCATGAAGGGAAAAATATCAGAACATTAAGTGAGTTAAATTTATGCAGAGCATAGTTAATAGCATAAAGCTTTCACTGTGAGTTGAATTCCTTTAGTTGTCCTCACAGAACACCACCATGCGAGTAGCTGCTTTCATAGAATCATAATTTAGAACGCTTATTTGATTCTGCACAAGTAGCAAAGTTACCTTGGAAAGCATTCATAAAATTCCTAACCAGCCAGGTGCAGGTGGCTCATGCTCGTAATCTTAGCTACTCAGGAGGCTGAGATCTGAAGCTAAAGGTTTGAAGCCAACCTGGGCAGACAAATCTGAGAGATTCTTAATCTCTAATTAACCAGCATAATGCTGGAAGCAGGAATATAATACAAGTGACACAGCTAGTCTAGCTTTGAGTGAAAAAGCTAACCCAGAACTCTATGCCTTGAGTTAAGATCCAATATCAGCATAAATAAACAAACAAATGTTAGCCATTATCATGAGGCCATGGAATGCCCTGGGTTTGGGAGCCAAACATCATGGTAAATCTTGGCTCTACATTTGCTCAAGTGAGCCCTCTTGAGACTGCTCCTCATATAAACATGGGGACAGTCATGCCTGTCCCCCTGGGTGGCTGGTAGTGGCTTCACAAGGTTTGGTACAGTGGTTCCGTGGTATGGTACAATCGTACAATGCTCCTTCTGACCTGAAGTATACAGGACTCAACAATTGAGGGGTGTTGATGTTGTTATTGCACTGGAATAAGCATCTTGGATTGTCTGAATACAGAATTGAATTGAACATCGTGAATATTTATAATGATCTAGTGGTGGGGGGAGGGAGGAGTTGGGGAGGTGGGGGTGGGAAGGGATGGTAGGGGAAAAACAAAGAAGGAGGAAACAATGCTTGATAGGAAATGTGTTCATTACCTTACTCTTATAACTGTAACCCCTCTGTACAGTATCTTTATAATAAAATATATATATTAAAATGATCTATTGGTGCTGGATATTGCTATGAGTGCTTTATCTTGCATTTAAGGGGCTGATAATATGGTGAGAAAGAGATACAAATTGATAATGACCCAGCTTAGATCAGAAGAGGTAAAGTAATTGAACTTGTCACAGAGAAGTGACATGATAGCAGCGTATCTAGGCTAAGAGTCCTTGGCCTCTCTTGGCTTCCAAGTTAATGTCACTTGGAGAGGTTGCAAAAAGCTTTTCATCTCTAATTCATTTTAGGACCTTACACATGGAGCTTGAAGGAGATTATCATTTGAATGGCTATATTTGAAACTTTTTTTAAAAAAAGATATGATCATATATATTTATTTTTTGCTAGTCCTAGGGCTTGAAGTCAGGGCCTGGTGCTGTCCCTGAGCTCCTGCTCAAGGCTAGCACTCTACCACTTGAGCCACAGCTCCACTTCTGGCTTTTTGTTGTTGTTGTTTATTGGAGATAAGAGTTGCCTGGGCAGAAATGTCTGAACATTACTACCCAGGCTGGCTTTGAACCCCGCTCCTCAGATCACAGGCACCTAGCTGATCATTCCTATTTTTCATCAAGAGCTAAGAACAGGGCCTGGGAATGTGGCTCAATGGCATATACAGTGCTTTCCTAGCATGTACAAGGCCCTAAGTCTAATCCCCAGCTCCCTGCCTCCCCAAAAAAAAGAAAGAAAAGAGAGAGAGATGAGGAGGGCCGAAAAATGACTGGGAAGCAACAATGAGTGGGATTTGAATGGTTGAGGTTTAAGTAGGACTTGGGTCAAATCCACCAATATCTTTGATATTTTGACTTCATGGGAGCTGCTTCTCTGATTACTGGTCACCGGCCACAGCGACTGGAAAACTGCCTTTGCTTCTTTTCAGGTAGCAACCGTGACAGAAGCTCTTGATGTTCTGTGTCCTGGTGGCCCTATACAAAGCTATTATCCCTTGACGTTTATCCAGGTGAAACAGGTAGGCCTTCAAAGATACACCCCACCTTTTTTCTACTGTGCTTTGAAGATGGGCCAAAACATTCTTGGTTCAGCTGATTCAAAGCTCAAGAAAGGGAACCATCTCTCCAGGCCGTGAGCCTGAGGCTGGCACAGTGGGTGATCTTTCTATATTTCCTCTTGTTTCTTCCTGTCACTTGGCTTGCTTCACACACCTGTAGGAGTTACAGATTGAGTGCACCAATTGATCTAATAAATAAATCCCTAGTACTGGACATGGAACACACCATTTTAATACTTCACAAGGTGATTCGCTTGTCTGGTTTTAGTTTGCTCAATAGTATAGGGACTAGATTCTTGGACTGGATTTTTTCTTTTTGAAAAGAACAGAGCATATTTTGGTTTTTAGTGTCTATAGTTTTGCGTAGGTTTAATCTCTAGGCACTGGCCTCATATTTGTTTAGAAGCTTTTCACAACTTTTTTATTCTGATGAAAAGGATTGGGGTTTGGAGCTAGCCAGGGCAGACAAACTCAGGAGACTTTCATTTTGAATGAACCATTGAGAAGCCAGAACTAGAGACATGGCTCAAGTGATAGAACACCAATGCTGAGTAAAAAAGTCAAGCAAGGATGAGAGGCCCTGAGTTCAAACCCATGTACTGGCACCATAAAAAGATCAGACTGGAGGCATGGCTTAAATAGTAGACCACCAGCCATGAGCAAGCAAACCAAGCAAGCTGAAGCCCTGAGTTTAAACCCTGGTACTGGCAAAGTAGTAAGTAATTAAAAATGAAAATAAATTTTAGATTAATACTACCCTATTATCTAATAACATTTTGTATTGTGTTCAAATATCTTTAGTCATGCCAGTAGTACCTTTCTAATTCTTTGCTCAATCCAGTTTCCAACCCATTGCATTTATTTATAATCCTTCTTTGAACTTCTCTCGTCTGACACTGTTCCTCCATCTCTGTTACAACCTGGATATTTGTGAATAGTTCGGGCTGTTTGTAGACTGCCCCTCAATAATTAGGCTCACAACAGAAGAGACATGTTCTCCTCACGGTCTGATCCTCGATGCCTATGGGGTCCCTGGACCCTGCTGCCCTGTCAAGAATGATCACAGTGCTGTAGTCTTAACCCCATTCTATGGAGATTCCTTTCAGCAAGCAATGTGACATAGTAACAGCATGTTTACTCTTAGTATAGTTTTTGTATACTGTAATTATTTTCACTCTCATGCTTTTATTCCAACATGTGTGTGCACGCACATGTATGTGTGCACGTGCATGTGCTTTTGGCCATGGCTATGAGCCCCACTGAGGCTGGGAAAGGGATGAGCTCTGATCAGTTTTCCTCCCTCCCTCATTCTCTTCCTCCCTCCCTTCCTTCTTTCCTTCCTTCCTTCCTTCCTTTTCCCCCGCCAATACTGAGGTTTTAACTAGGGTCTTTTTCTGCACGAGGCTGGTGCTCTACCACTTGAGCCAAACCATTTCCAGCTTTTGGGTGGTTAATTGGAGATAGGAATCTGGTCACCAGGGCTGAGCTCTCTCTTGTGTTCAGTACATTGAATAATGCTATCCTCTATGCACATACATTTATATTGGCCCTGGGGACAAGTTCTCAGTCCTGGTACACACTGCCTATACATGTGTGTACATCAGTAGAATGGCACTTAATTTCCGCTTTCCAGGGTCATGGAGCAGTCCTGACAAAACATGGACACTGCTCTTGGAGCCTGGGGAGAGAGCTCTAGGTCAACAAGTGGTCACTTGAGCCATTGTCCTTAGCCCTTTCTTCCTGATCTGACCTCAGGCTCCTATAGCACTCTGGCATTGGCATCCTGAGCCCTGGCTCTTTCAGTTCTAGGACAAGCTCAAACAATACTTATTTCCAACGAACCTGTGGAGTTCCAGGGTTCAGTAGTGGGGCCCAGCTTAGTGACTCCTCCTCATCTCTTGAGGCTCAGCCCTCCTCAGCCACCTGACTAAGAACCCCCCCCCCCGACTTCTGCTTCCTCCTAAAAGCCCTGCACACTTTTCCTCAGCCTCAGAGGTGGCACCCCACCTTTGATTCGTGTCTATAAAATATAAGTACATGAGCTGGGAAAATGGCTTCGTGGTAAAGTGCTTGCCTAGCATGCATGAAGCCCTGGGTTCCATTCCTCGGTACCATATCAACAGAAAAAGCTGGAAGTGGTGCTGTGGCTCCAGTGGTAGAATGTTAGCCTTGAGCAAAAGAGGCTCGGGGACAGTGCCCAGGCCCTGAATTCAAGCCCCAGGACTGGCAAATATATATATATATATATATATATATATATATATATA